CTGAACAACCCAGTCAGCTCTCTTGTGTGGAATTTATTGTAGAGACCTTCTTGACTGACCCCCAATTGGAAGCACACTGATCCCAAACCTGTGTTCCTTCTTTCTACTACGGACGTAACCCATTGCTTCCATTAAAATTGACTTTCTCTCTCTTCTTTCCTCAAATTCCAGGGCCGCTCAATAACTAAAATTTAATCCACAATCCCTAACCATGTTAGGGCCATGCTACACTTGCTCCCTGTGCCAGTGTGTTTGGGGCATGCCCCTAACTCTGTTTTTTCTTATCATCTGAAGGAACATGAGGCGCTGTCTCTCAAGGACTGCTGCAGGTTGGCGCACACAAGGTGCTTAGCACAGGGGGCTGGCACCAGATCACGTGATATCGGCTCTGGCGGTTGGTCCTTGGTAGGTCCATGTTGTTACCTGGTTTTCTGCTTCATAGTAGAAAGAAAAAAGCAGGAGCAGAGACACAAAAGGAGCTCCTGAGATTTATAAAGTTCTTTGTCTTTAGTCCTTCTGTAATAGCTCAACGTACTTCAACGGTCCTGAAAGTGCCAGCAGAATTATAGCACAGAAGAAAACCCGCTACCCACATTAAAGTCCGAGAGAAAACAAGGTTTTGCTCACTCTGAAAGGAAAAAAAAAAGGCAGCGAAGTATTGTGATAATAGGCATTTAAATACATGCCTGAGAGTTTCTTGTAGTACTTGCCTTGAAAAGGCAGTTTTGTTTGCTAGAGAAACAGGTAAATTATTCCCACAGAGGCAGGTGAGTTCCCAGAGGTCATGGCCTCAGTGGGTCCCTGGACTACAAAGTAACCATAAAACAAGGCCAGAAACTGCTCTCTCTGACACAAGAAGGTTAATGCTGATGTGGGGAGACCTAAGTGAGTAAGGACGGAAAGAAAAAGAAAGTATCATTTTTTTTTTTTTTTTTTTTTTTTTTTTTTTTTTTTTTTTTTGGTTTTTCGAGACAGGGTTTCTCTGTGTAGCTTTGCGCCTTTTCCTGGAACTTACTTGGTAGCCCAGGCTGGCCTCGAACTCACAGAGATCCGCCTGGCTCTGCCTCCCGAGTGCTGGGATTAAAGGCGTGCGCCACCACCGCCCGGCCAAGAAAGTATCATTTTAATGGGCTACCTCATAAAGACTCTCTGTCCGAGCAGGTCAGAATCTGGAATGCTACCAATAGGATTTCAGCAGGGGGACTCAGATACAGCAGATCTCAGTCCAGAAAACAAGGAGAGATATTTGAATGGATGCCAAGGATCCAGGGGCATCATGTATGTGCAGCAAGAAAGAGAGAGGTGACGCAATATGACTCCTTTCTAATTATCCAATTACTGAGAAATTAACATGAGAGAACCCACCAAGGCAAAATCATTCCTACCATATCTACACGCGCTATAAGGGAAAGGTTTTGATTAAGAGGGAAAATACACTTGGAGGTCCTTTGTGTCTTTCTGGTCTCTGATAGGTATAATGCATTATTCATAATGTCATTCCATCACTCTGATGGTAGAGCTCATAACTACAACCATCAGAGGAAGCAAACATCTTCCTTCCGGGCGTGGAAGAGAAGAGGTCAGGTATGGAAGGATTCTAAAATTCACTCTAACAACAAGAAATTTGGGGCTTTGTTAAACCGTTATGTCCACTACCTCTTTCCAGCGACCAATTTGCCGAGAACTCAAAGGCCACACTTGGGGAAATCAACTCTCATGTTTAATATTTATAGAACTTTAGGACTGCTAATATTATAAAAGTCAAGTACATAAGTCATAGTGCAAACACTGTCGGATTCTTCTTACATTGGCATCTGCAGAAATCAGAGGGAGCGGGTAATGGATAGCAATCCGAATAGGTGTGAGGCTGCCCCTCCCCCATTTCTATGTTGCAGATCAACGTTAACAGTGAAAATGCCTCCAAGTCATGGCGGAAGTTCTCTAGAAAAGCATTCTGGATATCTGAAGAGAGGAAGGCTGTAGTTACCATTATTATTATTATTTATTTCCAGTTTCGTAATTGATTTCCTCTCACACATTTGGTTAGTCAATTTCACTTGGCTTTTCAATACTCTAAGTATTTGCATTTATTTTCCTTTTAATTCTTTCTCTTTTATAGTTTGGGGATATGTATGAGTTTGCATAAGTACATGTGCACATGTGTGTACAGGTACATGTGCACATGTGTGCATGGGCATGTGGAGATCAGAGGCTGGCATCAGGAGTTTTCCTTAATGACTCTACCTTGTTTTTGGTATGGGGGGAGCGTTCATCCATGTAGCACCCTGGCTAACCTAAAATGGACTATATAGACCAGGCTGGCCTTGAACTCATGGAGATCCACCTGCTTTTGCCTCCCATGTGCTGGGATTAAAGGTGTAAGATACCACCCCCAGTTTTTGTTTTTTTGTTTTTTTGGTTTTTTTTTTTTTTTTGAGACTCATTTTTTGAGACTCATTCTCTTACTGAACCTTGAGCTCACCAACTCAGCAAGCCCTGGGGATACTCCTGTCCTGCCTCCCTAGGGCTGAGGTCACAGGTACAAGCCACAGTGCCTGGCTTGCTCACCTAAATTGTGGGGCTCCAAATTCAGGTCCTTGTGTGTAAGGCAAGCACTTTACCCCGTGAATCACCTATCCAATTATCTTGTTTTGTTCTGTTCTTGTTCCCTACAGCTGTCTGTAACAGTAACTAATGTAAAGACGCGGCTTTGGGGTACATTCTTCTTCCAAGAGGCCACCGTTTGTATTCTCTAGTTCACAGAAGTCTGCCATTCCTGCCTACTTCTGCCCTCCCCATCCCTTTCAACTTGTTTCCTGGCTTTCATCTAACTTACTGGTTGAACTTCACTGCATATGAAACACATTAGTTCATGCTGTTAACATGCACTAAGTGTCATTAGTAATGACACCAATTCTGTTATTGTGTTAATTATTTTCTCCCATATCAAAGGCTATTTTATAAAATGTAGTTTAATTTTAATACATGTAAACTTCTTCAGCTGGGCAGTGGTGGCGCATGCCTTTAATCCCAGTACTCGGGAGGCAGAGCATGTGGGTCTCTATGAGTTCTAGGCTAGCCTGGTCTACAGAGCCAGATCCAGGACAGGCACCAAAACTACACAGAGAAACCCTGTCTAGAAAAAAAAAAAAAAAAAAACTTCTGAATATTTTTAAAGATGGTTTCTAAGCTTGTCAAATTAAAATTGCAAAACTTAATCTGTATTACATTAATATGGTATGAATTGAGTGATATTTCCCCGGAGTCTATCTCACTATATATTTTATAAGGGTTCTGTACAACCCTATTGAAATACCAGGCCCACAATCCTTCCATTGCTCTGGCCAAAATCTGGTCTGTTTCCATAGTGAAGATATTTAACACTTATTTTTTTTAATTATCTTTTCTAAAAGATTTATTTATTTTATTCATTATTATTATTATTATTATTGTGTGTGTGTCTGTGTCTGAGTTTATGTGCTGTACCTGCAGAGGCCACAAGGCACCCTAGAGCTGAAGTCACAGGCAGTTGTAAGGCATCCATTATGGGTACTGGGAAACATACCCAGGTCTTCTGCAAGAGCAGAAAAAGCTCCTAACCACTGAGCCATCTCTCCAGCCTCAAAAACTTCCTGTCTTAACACAGGAAGCTGTACTTAAAACTACCACCACCCCAACCCTACCTCTCCTGAGCCCACCTCAACTTTTCATGAACTTTCAATTGCCACTGGGGCAAAGATCATATCCTTTTGTTTTAAAATTTATTTATTTTCATGTGTATAGGTGTTGTGCCTGCATATATGGCTGTATACCATGGCTGTGCAGTACCCGTGGAGGCCATCAGAGTCCTCTGGAAGAGCAGCCAATGCTCTTAACAGTTGAGCCATCTCTCCAGCCTCCAACCCTATCCTTTTACCTGCCTTAAAGCCTGTTCCTACCACTGGAATCTTATCCCACCATGGCATCTCACACTCGGCAGTCCAGCTTCAGCACCTTTGATATCCAGTGCACAAGGCCTCCTCCCATGAGGCCTCTGTGCCTGATGCTCCTGCTGCAGCTACCTCCCTTTGCACAGCTAGCTGCTCATAAATGCTCCTCATGCTGCAGTTCTGTTGTGTTTTCATGGAAGATTCCTATGACCTCATGGCTAGTCCAGTCCTTGCAGCACATGCTGCTCTTATTGTACCTTCTGTAGTCTTAACCATCTATTTCTATGATTCTTTAACACATAGTTCAGCCACTAATTTGTCCGTATATTCCCAGTCTCTAATTCATGATCTTCAACAAATGCTTATTGAGTTATTAATAATCATGGAATGGAAAATAAGCCTGGCATTGAAGAATTATATTTCAGGGGCTGGAGAGATACCTCAGAGTTAGTGCTGTATGTAGCCACCAGCTCCAGGGGAATCTGGCGCCCTCTGCTGGACTCTGTGGGCACTAACACTCATGCACATAGTCATACACAGACACACACACATACACATAATTAAAAATAAAGATAAATCTCTTTTGAGAAAGAGTTATATCTCACCCTCTAAGGAGATACAAGAAGTAGCCACTCACAATCACAACAGTTTATCCATCATAATCCATAATAGGAAGGCAAATAAATGTCTCAAAGATCAATCCCACCCACCTTTTCAAAAGACAGAATACCCTAGTTGCCTAGAAAGACTGCCCTGAAAGGAATTTCATGGCCTTAAAACTTCTGATTCACAAATTTTCTTGGAAGGTTAATCTACCTGGGTTAATACAGAGTTTGGAAGTGAGAGGAGTCACCTACAATGTCAACAAAACATGGTTACAGTTGGGTCATCTCTAGAGCTGCCCCATTTCCCCACTTACCTTTCTGCACAGCAGCGTGTGATATGAAGGCCATCACTTTATACTGTAAGCATCACCCCTTGGTAACTCAGATCACACACACACACACACACACACACACACACACACACACACACACACGAGAGAGACTTTTAAACTCTTAGGATACCTACCTAGAGAGAAGCAGAATTGACTTTCCTTATGAAACAGGACCATCTGGCATGACAGGACAGGACACTGTGAACATTACACAGGATGCTAGCCAGAGAGGTAAGAGAAAAGCACGACCTGCCTTACAAAGCATAATTAAAGCAAGCCATGTCTGGACACTGGAACAAAGAGGAGATGCAAAGCCAAGGCTCTGTCAGTTGTGGAACTGTTAAAAAAAAAAAAACTTCAACAGGTTTTTTCCCCCTTGGGCTTAAAGCTGAGCATCCCACAGCCACCCCCTCTGTTCTCAGAAGCAGCATTCTTCCTGCTGCATCCTGTGTGCCACCTGCTCAAATGTGACAGCCTCACCTTCCTGCGCTTTCATTTCTAAAAATGTCCTTGGTGCCTCAAAGGCATCTTTATTCACACACGGTTTCTAAGACATTAAGGACCTGAGAAAAGGAGTCATTAAGGCAGCCCCAGGCACATCAAGACTGAGAAGAAGGGAAAATGTCATTTTCTGACCCTCGCTGACCTCCCTAGAAGGGGTTCAATCTCTTTGCACCAGCTTGGTGTTCGGGTTGTGGCCGTCACGGGGGGTCAGACAAAGCTGTAAGGAGGAGAGTGAACACTTGATGTAAAATTATTGGAAACTAAACTAGGTTAAAGGGGTCCATTCAGTGTCAGAATCGCATAAGAAGAAAGCAGGCAGCTGCCTAGAAGCAGGATAAAGGGAGATGAATGCGGACCTAAAGTTCAGGAGCTTGGGCCCCGTTCCTGCCCTGCCGATAACTAGCACACGGCCTCTCTAAATCTCACTTTTCTTGAAACAGTGGAATTCAGCTTGAGGGCTGCTGTGTGGACTGAGTATGGTAATTGATGTGAACAGCCTGCATAAACATTAATCTCCCAATCTACATCTGTGACTCAAAATCAGTAGGCAAATAAAGACTTTTCTCTTTTAAAAAGGAAGCAAACAGTTGACTCCAGGTCCCCTGGAGCTGGAGTTACAGGCAGTTGTGAGCTGTCACATGGGTGCTAGGGACTGAACTTGAGTCCTCTGCAAGAGCATCAGCTCTCTTGATGCTGGACCATCTCTCCAGCCCCCACAACTATTAGAAGTCAACAAATAATCAAGAATAGAAGGAGAAACACAGAGTCTTTCAGACAATTGAGAAGTAGATGTACTAAATTCAGAAGGCCTATCTCCTCTCTCCTGAATCATGTGGGTGGAGTCCAGTGTCTTACCCTTCCCTCAGCTATCCCACACTAATGTTGAGAGAGCATTGAAAGAAATCTGGGCTTACGCTGTGAGTCATCACCTGTGGCTGTTTCCTTCAGAAGATTTCACCATCATAGAAAGTTGAAGGCTGAAGGGAAGCCTACAAGCACCCGTCATCCCATCACTTCTGGATCTTTTTAGTAGTATTGAAACAGGGTGATATTTAAAAGGAACTATGACAGCTCTGACATGATCAGAAAGCTGCCAGCATCTTATTAAGTTGGGGTTTTAAATAGTCACTATTCTCACAGCCTCAATCTCACAAAGGGGAAAAAAAATCAAAATAACCCCTAAGCTGAAAAACATTTTCCATTGCCCTTGACTCATACCTTATACCCATGAAATTTTTAGCATCGTAGAAACCATATTTTATAGAACATATTTTGAAACCACTAAATTAGTTCAGATCTCTCCAGTGATGTGACCAAGGTCCTAGGAGATTGGATGACTCATTCCCATTCATCCATGAGGTGGAACCAGCCCAGGACCATTTCCAACCCATCACACTCACTTCTATAAATTGCAGTGAAGACCTCTCTAACAAAGGCCATGATTTCCCCGCATCATTTTTCTTTGTCATTTTATTTGTCTGGTTTGGTTTTTGGTTATTCCTCCAGTTGGGATGGCTATTTTGTCAGTACCTACATTTGTGTTTTCTACCCACACAACTGTCTTACTTCCAACCTCTGTCACCTTAACACAAGACAGAGTCATCCGGGAAGAGTGAATCCAAAGTGAGAAATTGCCTCCATCAAATTGGTCTATAGGCAAGTCTGTCAGGCATTTCTTTGATTAGTAATTGGTGTGGGAGGGCCCATCCTACTATGGGCAATGCTACCCCTAATACAGATGGTCCCAGAGTGTATAAGAAACTAAGCTGAGCAAGCCACGGAGAGTAAGACAGTAAGCAGCATTCCTCCAAGGCCTCTGCATCACTTCCTGCCTCCAGGTTCCTGCTCTGACTTCCTGCCATGCCTTCTCTTCATGATAGATTGTTGCTTTTGGTCATGGTATTTTATCACAGCAATAGAAACCTAACTAATACAACCTTACTCTAAAAACTCATGAGAGAAAAAAAAACATTATACCTTCCTCAGTTTTGACTAGTGAGCTGAAAATGCAAAACCCTTCAAACTCTCAATGGGAAAGGGGCTTTCTGCTGTTTTAACTCCTGTGGCACATCAAACTGTATTGGGATAGATATACATGAAAGACCCTTGATCTGAGGAGTCCAGAAACTAATCAGAATTGCTCCCGATGCAACATTGCTGTGCTTGTCAGTATGGACCAAGAAGCAGCTCCCTTGGCCTTGCGGTTATAGTCTTACACATGTCTGTGATCTCAGTTTGCATAGAGAGACAAAATCACTCATCCTCTGAAAGTCATTTCATGCTTCAACCATCAGGCAAACTGTCCCCCAGTGAGCCAGAAATCTCTCCCTAGGCTAGGTACCAACATATTAACAAGCTGCTTGGTGCCACGTAGACTCTAAAATATCTAGCAAAGGCATTACATACTGCAGGAGTGACTCTAAACAATAGATTTTTGCTCATTCTTGAGGAATGAGGCTTAAGGACTGGTTCTCAGCCCTTAGTGACACCAGCTTCCAAAGTAATTCATACAGAGTCATCGCTAGTGATTTAATCCCATGGGAGCATTTAAATTATTCAAAGTCATGAGTATCATTTATTATCATTATTAGTGACATTTATTGGGTCCTTGCTGAGTTTTTTTTATATCCTATAATAACTATGGAGGCCTTTGAGGTAGGTAAGAATTTCTCCTAGCATTGGGGAAGGCAGCTCAATCATTAAGTACTTACCCCTCACTATGAGGACCTGTGTTCAAATCCCTCACCTACACGGAAATGGCCAGGTGTGCTAGCACAAGCTTGCAGTCCAGCACGAGAGAGATGGAGACAAGAGGCTATCTGGGACTCTCTAGAGAATGAGCCTAGCTTGCTTTGTCAGGTCAGGTAGCTGTCCGAAAAATACAGTGGACACTGGAAAGAGGGCTCAGCAGTTAAGAGGACCTCGGCCTCTTGCAAAGGACTGAGGTTCACTTCTCAGCACCCACATAGCGGCTCGCAACTGTCTGTAACTCCAGTTCCAAGGGATCTGACCCCTTCTCCTGGCCTCTGCAGGCACCAGGGAGGCATGTGTTACATATACATACACATGTAGACAAATACACACATAAAACGAAACAAAAATCAATTTTTTTAAAAAGATAAGGTAGACAGATCCTTAATAATGACATTCAGGGTTGACCTGTGACCACAACACGTGAGCACACATTTGTACATGAACACACACAACAGCAGAAAGAGTATATATCATATACTCCTATATTCACATGCACATACAGCACTCTTTTAGACAAGAAGGAAATTCAGGGAACAAACTACAGTCTATTGGGGGGTTGTGACCACTGTCTTTGAAAGCTCACACCTTTGTCCAAAGGCACTCTCAGCTGAAGAGGAGCACACAGTGATAAAAGCTGGCCCAGTGCAGAGGCCACTGACTCTGGAGTGCTGTTCACATGGAAGCAACTGCTACAGGAAGGACTGCTCACTCATTCCACAGCTGAGCTGGCCTTCCGGAAGCAATGGCATCTGCTCCAGCAAGGTGTGCAACTGCACAGAACGCAAGGAAAGCAGCCTAGGACAGGTTGCCGACCGTGCTCTATACTACCGTGGGGCAACTGCACCCCTTCCCATTTGGAAGTCAGCAGACTAGGAAACAATGACAATCCTCTCTGATTCCACCTCCAGGAAGGAAGGAAGGATTAGGTTCCACCCTCCCATGTAGAGACATTTCCGAGAAGAAAAGTAAATAAACCAACTCAGATGTTGTAAGTGGGAGTCATGAGAAACTGAAGGGAGAAGATAAGAGTGGAGAATGTAGAAAAAAAATTGAAACACACAAAGAATTAGAGTTAGGGATAAGCATCCACAAAGCATTCCATACCGTCACAAATGTAAGAAATTACACACGCTTTTCCGATCCTTAATCCAGGAGAAATCAAGTCCGATGAAAGGCCCAGCTACACAATGGTCATCAGGCTGTGTGAAGCTCCTCTGGTAATGACAGGTGGAGAGATAGGAGATGATGATACGGTTCCTCCTCATTTCTGGATGAAACTTGTTAGCTTTCTGAACCACTCTTTGAAAAATAATAAACATGTCTCAGCAGGCTTCATAAATAAGCTAGCCACACAAATAAACAGACACAATTATCTGCCACTTATACCACAGGAAACAAGTGACACCCGAGCTACAAAGAAAAAACTGTACTGGTCCAAAATAAGTTAACAGGATGGCTTCCAACATATTTGGGGGTGACTGAGGCACTTCATCGCCCAGGCTGGGAAGACACCGTTCATGGGTTCCATCAGGCGTGAAGAAATCATGTTCCACTCTATAAATTTACAGATGGAAAGGACAAGAAGAGACCATAGCTTGGGGGCCTAAATCACATCTTTCAATCTACCAGAAATGCAAAGTGTGACAGAGGACAGTTTTATTTTGTGTGAATCCTTCACTTATCTACTGCTTCACACCGGAGAGATCAGCAGATTGTTAAACACCTACTGTATCTCCTACATGAGGGTTGAGAACTTCACCTGCATCCCACCTCAGCAGTCATCAAGGAATAGTAACAGGGAGATGGAGTGAACGAGGGCTCAAAGAACCTAAATAAGGTTGGCAGGTGTCTTAGTGACTGTTCTGTTGCTATGAAGAGACGTCATGACCAAAGCAACCCTTATAAAAGAAAGAGTAAATTGGGAATCCACTTAGGTTGAGAGGTGACGTGGAGCCTGGTTGCAGGCAGGCAGACACTGGAGCAGTAGTTGAGAACTACATCCTGATCCATAGGTAGAGAGAGAAAGCCACAGTGGACGTGGTGTGAGCTTTTTGAAACCATCAAGCCCACCCCCAGTGACAC